AGAGCAGAGATGAAAGAGGCTTTCATTCTTTAAGAAAGTTCTTTTATTTGAGGAGCTGAAAGTTTAGTTGGATAAAGTGACCTGGAATTGTGGGTTACGGTAGTGTACGTGTGCTTTGAACCAGATGGCTTCAACTCTTCTGCACATTGAGAAGAAAAATGCTCTGCCTGCTTTTTATTTTACCTTCTCTTAGTCTTGAGCTCTTAAGGGTAAGGAGAATTTTTGATGATGTTGACCTTATGTCATCTGTATTAGTTTCCCCAGCTTATTCCTCCAAAAAGGTGTTGGTGACATATTTGCCAAGTTTGCTAGAAAACCTTAGTAATAGTGTGTTCTATGATGCCCCTAAAAAATAAGAATTAAAATAGGGTTACTTAGCATGAACATGTTACATGGTTTTAAAGATCCTGGTTTCTGTTTAATTAGACAAAGAGCAGAATTGGAATTCTTAAAGTGTACTTTCCTTTTCTCCCCCCCTCCCCTCCCAAAGAAAGCACCTGAATTAAGCACCCAGAGACCACTAATCTATTATCAGTAGTTCAAAGAAATTGACACCCAGAGTTTCAACCAGCCTGGTGGGACAGCTGAATTAAACAGATAATGAAATACAAGTGCAAAAAAGCTAACCTTGAGCTGGCCCAAAGTACTGATATATTGTATGTACTAACAGTACTATTGAGCCATTTTTGTCAGGCATTGTTCTTATTAGCACTTAATGTTAAATCCTCATAACTCTGCGGTAGGTACTGTCATTCCAGATGTTTCAGATGAGGAAACATACAGAGATAAAACCGATTTGTCCGTGGTCACTTTAGTAGCAAAAGCGTACTAAACCCAGACATTTTGGTTCTTATGAGGAATCTACTGAAGCAACTAATTCTGGATGTCACTTGCACTTTATAATCAAAGTTATAAGTTTGCACTGTAATTGTCTACTTGAATGAAGAAGCTTCTGTGTTCTCTATATTATGGGGAATCTGAAATAACTACTATTTCTCACTACGAAAACTAAGAATGTGATGTTTTACTATATCCCCTCTCCCCACAGTCCAAATTGGAGTGGGGAGGAGAGGGGAAAAAGAAACATTTTTGTATCATTGTAACATGTAACTCCAGTATACTCCAGAGTTTTGGATTGGCTGATTAAAAATAAATGTTTACTTACCTTTTGGAATCTAGGTTTAAGAGTCAAGTCTTAGAGTGGTGCCATTGCAGACCAAATTCTAATCTGGAAACAAAATGAGTTATAAAAGTATGTTGCTTTTCTATAAAAAGAAGGATGCAGTTAATAATTTGTGTGTTTTTTGTGCATTGGTTCATTAGTGTTTTTTTGAAGAAGAGAAGATGGAAGTATATATACTTTCATGTACTGTAGGTATCTCTGAGATATGTATCTAATTGCTCGGGGGGGAAAGGGTATTATTGGAAAGAAGCGATGGGTGACTTTTCACAATATACCCTTTTGTACAGTTTGAATGCTTTACCAAATGCTTGCAATAACTCTCCCCAAAAATAAGTAACCGCTTTTCTTGGACCCAAGTTTATTGACTCCATATTCTTATAACAGCAAAATAAAAGTTCTTTGAAATTAAAAAACTTTTATAGAAACATCTAAACATATTTCAAAGTAGCACATCTCCAGCTTCAACAGTAGCAACATTTTGCCAATTTGAGACAATAGAAAATGTGGGTGTAGTTCTGATAATATTGTATGCCCTCTGAAAATAGCTGCAGGTTTGGGGACTGTTATGTGTCCTCTGAATTTATCAGTGGTGCCTTTCACTGTCTATAATTCAGTTTCTGTGGTATCTCTCGTATATCATCACACTTTTATAATTGGCTAAGAATACTTTATTGTTAGTATGTGCTACTTTGAAAATAAAACTAATTTTAAAATACTGTGTTGCATTTTTATCAGCACCATGCTCTAACCAAGGGAGCTAACAGGTCAGCCTTAATAATACTTTGTTGCATTTTTGAAGTTTTAAACTATACAAATATTACTAGATATAGTTATCTAGTATGGTAATTCTTTTATATGATCCTGTTCTAAGGTTATCTAGTATGGTAGTCCTTTTATATACTCCTAAGGATCCTATTCTAAGGGTACACAGAATTGTGATTAATGATGGTGGCTTGTCCTATAACTGTATGTTTTCGCTTGCTTCCCTTTTGAATATATCAAAAGAAAATAAGGGAAGAATTGGTGAGTGCTCAGGGCATTCTCACTGAAAAGTAACACCAGTAAGAGAAAAAAGTCTTACTGACCTTACTTGAAGAGGTAGAAGCTAATGTAGCTTTCTGTTAACTGATAGGAATAGGTTACTTGAAGTTCCTGTCATTTCTTAGCAACTACGACTACGAAAGGCTTTTTGGGAAAGAGCAGTTTCCTGTTTAGTTGTGCAAATGGCCATCACTTAAGTGTGCTTTTTATTTATTTATTTATTTTTTTGTCCTTTTTGAGACCAGCTGCACCGTGCTCAGCCAGTGAGCGCACCGGCCATCCCTATATAGGATCTGAACCCGCGGTGGGAGCGCTGCTGCGCTCCCAGCGCCGCACTCTCCCGAGTGCGCCACAGGCTCAGCCCTTAAGTGTGCTTTTTAATATGTTTAAACATGTAGCATTGTTAAATTTGGCACTTGCCTCGTTTTTTTTTAAAGATGACCGGTAAGGGGATCTTAACCCTTGACTTGGTGTTGTCAGCACCACGCTCAGGCAGTGAGCGAACCGGCCATCCCTATATGGGATCCGAACCCGTGGCCTTGGTGTTATCAGCACTGCACTCTACCGAGTGAGCCACAGGCCGGCCTGGCACTTGCCTCGTTTAATTTTGTGTTTTATTTTTATTTTTGGTGGCTGGCCAATATAGGGATTGAACCCTGGACCTTGGTGTTATCAGCACTACCCTCTAATCAACTGAGCTAACCAGCCAGCTAATTTTGTGTATTTTAAATAAAGGATATAAGCCTATGTCACATGGAGTATTTTGAATAGTATTAGTACATTCTTGATGGAGAAGATCAAAGATATGCATAGCTGTCTTGGTAGAATGTGCTTAATGAGAGAGAAATATAAGGAGTACATAGATTGCAGGCAACCCTACCCCTTTAAAACCAAATCTTTGGGCCGGCCCGTGGCTAACTTGGGGGCGTGTGGTGCTGATAACACCAAGGACACGGGTTTGGATCCCTATGTAGGGATGGCCGGTTCGTTCACTTCGGGGAGAGCGTGGTGCTGACACCACCAACTCAAGGGTTAAGATCCCCTTCCTTACAGGTTATCTTTTTAAAGAACAAACTAACGAACAAACAAACAAACCAACAACAAAATCTTTGCTTTTTCTACAAGTGAAACACCCTGAGGCTGAAGGTCAGTGCTAACTATGTAGCTTGTTTTTCTTAACTGAGTTTTTCTGCAGATCTAGCAAGGAATAGGAAACAGGTTGCTTGACTTTCCTTTTTTCCTCCTCTTCACCATCTTTTCTAATAGTGTTTTCTTTTCTTACAGTCGTCTTGCACCTGCCTCTGAAAATGAGGGGTAGGAAGGAATCTGTTAGAGTCATTTGTGGGTTCAGTTAGTAGTGTCTGTTTTGCATCCTTGCTTTGCCTTTAACTTCACTATTTGACTCACACTATTTTTACTGTGACTTTTTCAAACACTGGGACCTAGGCTGTGACAGCTGAAACGTAAAATTGCCTTAATTGAAGGCTTGATAGAGACTTGGAAACAATAAATTCTTATTTACAGAGTAGTTTAGAAGGTAACTTGCTGCTGTTAGGTATATAGCTATATGAACTCCATGAGTCAATGGAATATTTTTTTACCGATTATTGGAAAGGTAACTATTGATTAAACTTACAAGAGTATAAAAGACCCTCTATTTAAAAAAATAGATGTATATACCCCGCTATGTCTCTGAAACTAGATGGATAACCTGGTTCATAAAAGGCCTTCCTGAAGTCCGCCCACAATCTCTTTGTATGTTTATCTTTCTCCATTTGTTCTGGAAATAAAAGTAACTGCAAAAGTTAAAGTCAGGAAGAAATGAAAATTAATAATTCATAAAGTTCTATTGTAACCAAATATGTTATAAGTTACATACCTCACAGCTGGCGTATTTGCTTTGCATTGCAGCATATACTTAAGATTGTAAAGCCAGTTAATCTTTCACCTTTATTACCCTGTTTGTATTAATGGTTAGACAATTGTTTGACTCCTTGCCCCTGGAATTCAGGGACTGAGTTACTGTAACTACACTTTATAACTGGTTATGCCTACAGTCATTGAAGTATAAGAGGAACATGAAAGTAAAACATAGCCTCTTAATCTTATGTTGTATCTTATTCAGATTCTGGTCTGGTTATGTTTAAGCACTATTAGCAGAAGAGTTTGACAGAAGAGTTTAGATAAAGTACAGTTAACTTGGCTCAGCCAATTTATGAGATAACAGTGATTGGTGTTCTCTGGGGAAGGAAGTTGTACAGCTGGGAGACAAGGGTGGGAGAAAGACTTGATTTTTTTCCATGTTTTTTCTTTTTTGGATTTTGTACCATGTGGATTTATTACTCATGTAGGAAAGGGGAGGGAAAACTAGTCTGGCCAAGGTTAATAAAACCCTCAAGTAGCCTCTTTTAGTTGGACTTAATCTGTCATACCACATTTAGGCATAAAGTGTATTAAAGATCCATTACGGTAGAAATCTCCTCCCAGTAACAGTTGACTTTTGTTCTTACACACTTAATTGGTTTTAAAAGACCTACCATCTTTAGATCTACTATATTTGTTTAGCAAATACTTTAGTATCTTCTGAGTATACAAAGCAAATCTAATTCTGTTATTTTTTTTGTTAAAACCCGGAAGTAGCTCCTTTTGCCTATCAGGATTCTTACGGGGGTACATTTAGCTTGTCAGTCTGGCCCTTGCTTGTCTCTGTAACCTTAATTCTCTACTTCCCAAGCCTTTCATAGTTTAAACTCTTTTTTTTTTTTTTTTTAAAAAGATGACCGGTAAGGGGATCTTAACCCTTGAGTTGGTGGTGTCAGCACCACGCTCTCGTGTTGTAACTATTTACTTCTCTGCTCTTTCTAGTCCAACCAAGTTCCTTTTTTTTTTTAAAGATGACCGGTAAGGGGATCTTAACCCTTGAGTTGGTGGTGTCAGCACCACGCTCTCGTGTTGTAACTATTTACTTCTCTGCTCTTTCTAGTCCAACCAAGTTCCTTTTTTTTTTTAAAGATGACCGGTAAGGGGATCTTAACCCTTGAGTTGGTGGTGTCAGCACCACGCTCTCGTGTTGTAACTATTTACTTCTCTGCTCTTTCTAGTCCAACCAAGTTCCTTTTTTTTTTTAAAGATGACCGGTAAGGGGATCTTAACCCTTGAGTTGGTGGTGTCAGCACCACGCTCTCGTGTTGTAACTATTTACTTCTCTGCTCTTTCTAGTCCAACCAAGTTCCTTTTTTTTTTTAAAGATGACCGGTAAGGGGATCTTAACCCTTGAGTTGGTGGTGTCAGCACCACGCTCTCGTGTTGTAACTATTTACTTCTCTGCTCTTTCTAGTCCAACCAAGTTCCTTTTTTTTTTTAAAGATGACCGGTAAGGGGATCTTAACCCTTGAGTTGGTGGTGTCAGCACCACGCTCTCGTGTTGTAACTATTTACTTCTCTGCTCTTTCTAGTCCAACCAAGTTCCTTTTTTTTTTTAAAGATGACCGGTAAGGGGATCTTAACCCTTGAGTTGGTGGTGTCAGCACCACGCTCTCGTGTTGTAACTATTTACTTCTCTGCTCTTTCTAGTCCAACCAAGTTCCTTTTTTTTTTTAAAGATGACCGGTAAGGGGATCTTAACCCTTGAGTTGGTGGTGTCAGCACCACGCTCTCGTGTTGTAACTATTTACTTCTCTGCTCTTTCTAGTCCAACCAAGTTCCTTTTTTTTTTTAAAGATGACCGGTAAGGGGATCTTAACCCTTGAGTTGGTGGTGTCAGCACCACGCTCTCGTGTTGTAACTATTTACTTCTCTGCTCTTTCTAGTCCAACCAAGTTCCTTTTTTTTTTTAAAGATGACCGGTAAGGGGATCTTAACCCTTGAGTTGGTGGTGTCAGCACCACGCTCTCTCCCTATATAGGGATCCGAACCCGTGGCCTTGGTGTTATCAGCACCACACTCTCCTGAGTGAGCCACGGGTCGGCCCTAGACTAACTTTTTAATCATCACAACAGGGAACAACTGTACAGCCTGTCAGTCTAAACAATGCAAAGAATCTTGTACCATCTGGGAGCCTGTATTTTTTTCCTTTGAACTTTTGAATGAAAATATAACTGACCCTTTAAAACAGAAGTTTTTAAGAAGGCTAGGTGACAAACTGACTCTAAAAAATTGCATTTAATTGCCTATTTTTTGCTTTGTTTTTCTTCTCGATAGTAGGACAAAGACTTAAGTTTACCGTACTTTCTTGATAAACTTGTGGGTGAGTTGTTAGAGGTGCTGAACATTCTAAACAGACTTTTTTCCTTACATGATTTAAACTTTGTATTTAGTAATAATACTGGTTGGAGAATAAATGGGGGATAGAACAAGCATATTCAAACAAATAAGTCAGTATCACATATCTAAGATAGGAGTTGATCTCATCTCAAGGAAAGATGGTCCAGCTTTTATACCTAGGGCCACGTTTTGTAGCAGTGAGCATTTTGCTTTATTTTTAAAAATATACTATATTTTTTAAGGTATTAAGCTCCCTTCAGTCTCCTTAAAGAATTTTAAATTTAAGGCTTAGCAACTCTCACACCTCTCTATTAAAAGGCCATCATTTAAATTTTGTCAAAATTCTTTACTATTTTTAATGTTATTGTTATCTTATTACATTTCTTAATGCTTTCTTATGTGTGCAGATGGTGAGTTATCTTAAATTAGATTGTATTAGTTATTGTCCTGTTCTATAAAAAGAATACACTGAAAAGATTTTCAGAGCATTGTGCAATAGTATCATAGATTTGTGCCTATATGTCTGCACTATGGAGCTGTCATCCCTTGCCTCCCTCCCCAAACCATCCCACTTACATATATGGTACTCCAACCCCTCTCATGTAGAAAAGAATAAAAAATCTAGTAATCTGGGGATTGGGGAAGGCAGCAAAGGAAAGGAAGTCATTCAACATACTGCTTCCCTCTGAAGCCAGTTTTAAACCCCTGGCTTCTTTTTATAAACAGGACTATAACTCTCACAATTTTCAAGTCTGCTTGTGGTTTATATACTGTGTGGGATGGGAATAACATTCCTTGTTTGATGGAAGAAGTTTTTGACCATGTGGTAAGAAGGGTTGTGGTACAAAGCTGTATGTCTCCTCCCAACCCCTACTATTTTGTAGTTTTTGTCCTTCAGGAGCCAGATTCTCTGTGGCTCAGAAATGGAGTTTTCCTTAGTCTGTAAGGACTAATCTTGACAGCCTAGTGATAACTGTGGGCTTTGACCTCTATTAATTTAAACCAAATCACTTTTTGGACTGTGACAGATTTCAATTTACAAGTACAAGCCCTTGCATCTGACTCAGCGGACTCTTAACACTCAAGGCAAATTTCATCCTTCTTTTACTAAATGCTTGCTTTCTTAATTGGATGAAGCTTGAACTTTGTTCTTATCTCCAGTATATTAACAGCATCTGAAACTGTCCCTTTCCTTTGTCTCCCTCTCCTTTCCTCCAGCACCTCTACCTTCCCATTGTGTCTTAAACCAATTAAATGTAGCATGCACTTCTCTTATGTGCTAGTGGTAACGAGGCAGAGTTGAAGTAGATTATCTTTTCAAAGCAGTTTTCACAAGATTTACTTTGGATGAGAGATGACTGCCTTTATAAAAGTCTTCTCTTATGTGCTAGTGGTAACGAGGCAGAGTTGAAGTAGATTATCTTTTCAAAGCAGTTCTCACAAGATTTACTTTGGATGAGAGATGACTGCCTTTATAAAAGCAGGCATTTTCCCCATGTTTGTATCAGATTTGCTTTGTCCTGTGTACATACAACTAAGTTTATGTGTAAAGTAAACATAGTTAAGTAAAAGTATGAAGGTTACAACTTTGTTTTCCATCATGTTTAATTAACAAAGCTGTTCTTTAGACTCATCTTCAGTTGAGATTTAGAATTCTGTGGAAGTCATACTATTTGTTTAAAATGTGCTTATTAGAGGTAGTATAGTTTTTGCTCAAGATGTAGACATAGATTGTTTGCTTCCTCTCAGCTATTCTCTTTTTAATGGTTGCTGCTCTGTCAGTGTGACTTCTGTAGCTGGTTATTAGTCTCATGATAAAACCATTTCGTTTGGAAGTTAACAGAGCTTGTTACAAAGCTAGTCTAGCTAGGTATTAATTCCTCCTGAAGTTTACCTTTTTAATGATTTATAACTCTTGATTTTGTTTTTAGCTGGGAAAACTCTTCAGATATTTAACATTGAAATGAAAAGCAAAATGAAGGCCCATACCATGACTGATGATGTTACCTTTTGGAAATGGATCTCTTTGAATACGGTTGCTCTTGTTACGGATAATGCAGTTTATCATTGGAGTATGGAAGGAGAGTCTCAGCCAGTGAAAATGTTTGATCGCCATTCTAGCCTCGCAGGATGCCAGATTATCAATTATCGTACAGATGCAAAACAAAAGTGGTTACTTTTGACTGGCATATCTGCACAGGTAATATTTTTCTAGTTTTTGATAAAGAGGAGGTCTAGAGAACTGTTGTGCCCAGAATGCAGTTTATTTTGCAGTTAGGTCTTCTGTACCCAATCCTGTTGAATTTGACTTTTTGGAGGAGACTTTTTCCCCTCCTTTTCTTTTTCTCTTTCTTTTTTTCTTAAGAATAAAGGCTGCTGGCTTATTATATTTATACTAAAATACTATATTTTTTTTTAGCTCTTACTTGCAGATTGAGTAGAAATTGAGTTCCTCTATGAATGATTTGGGATTTTTACTATAGGGTATGTGTGCTCTAATGTAGGGTGAATACTTTTGTATCTTTTTCTTTAAGATAGTGTAAAAAGATGGTTGTATATGAGGTACATTTTAAACATGTTAAGCTTTAGGACAATAATGTTTGCAGGTAAATTTTAAGTGGAGGTATCAAATCCACATTGAGAGACTAAATAGTAATCATAAATCCTGCTGAAGATAATGAAGTGCTTTAATTATTTAACTAGTTGATGAATTTGGAAGTTATTGGTTCATTGAGTCCCCAAACTATTCTCTTTAAATCCTTTTTAGCAAAATCGTGTGGTGGGAGCTATGCAGCTATATTCTGTAGATAGGAAAGTGTCTCAGCCCATCGAAGGACATGCAGCTAGTTTTGCCCAGTTTAAGATGGAAGGAAATGCGGAAGAATCAACGTTATTTTGTTTTGCAGTACGGGGTCAAGCTGGAGGAAAGGTAAGTTTTGGCTTTGGTAAATATTTTAGTGAGAGCTTGTCTTTGTGTTTCTGCTACTAATTAGTCATCTAATTTCAAAGTAGTCTTCTCCCTTTCTTGTTAATTTGTTTTTAATATTTAGATTTGTGATGACTTAGTTTGTTTAAATTCTGCATCTAATACTTTTCTAAAATGAATAATGTTCTTTGACAACTTTTTTTCTGTCAGCTGTTTACATTAATTATTTTGATGGCCTTTACCGAAAGTCTGAAGTTGGTGTTTTTCAACTTTACTGTGCATTAGAGTCATTAGGTTTGCTAAAATGCAGATTTGTGTGCCATACATACAGAGAATTTGATTCAGTAAGTGGCACTCAAAACCTGCATTTTTAAATATCCTACATGACTTAATATACATGGATTGTGGACCACAGTTTGAACACATTGCCTTAAGCGGTTTCAACCCTGGCTGTACATTGGAATCACCTGTCCAAAGTACTTCATATGTTGAGAGTTCTTAGCTGCACAAACAAGGCCTGGTTGATTAGAGCATGAAAAATTTAGTGAAATGGTATTGGATAGTTTACGATAGCCAGGAAGTCTGTACAGCCAACCTTGGAAAATGTGGAGTAAAATGGAAGAATGAGCAGCAGCCAGGATTCCAGCCAAAAACCATGCCACAGAACTCATGCTGCTATGACTCCACTGTTGGATGCCTGTAAACTCAATTTGACTACTGTTTCCACTGCCAGAGTAGAATCTCTGAAGTCTTAATAACTTTGTGTCCCTAGCTCCCTGTTCAAAGTCCCAAGATCTTAGCTCTGAAAGGTTTGGAAAACAAGTATTTAGTGTTTGGTGCTTCTAAAATGGAAGGCTGGCTCTACTTGCCCTAAAAACTTTTAAAGAGTACTCTCCCTTCTGTCCCCCCATCAGGAGGAGGGTTTAAATTCTGGGCAGACTAAAAACCTTGAACTTCATCTTTTTTAGAACGTTTGTATTTTCTTTGCTAAGTACTTTTTTTTTTTTTTTTTTTTTTTCCCCTTTTTGTCTTTTTTACTGA